TTCCGAAAAGTATGCCGCACTTATCTCGCTGGTCGATTGGTCAAATTAAAGTGGAGGGAATTTATCAATTTGCCTCAAATGTAGAGGAAATATAAACAATTAAGAGTTGATTAAATCCAGTTTATAAATGGCATACTTCCTCTAAGAATTTTCTGCAATTACAGCTGTTAAGCTGAAAGGAAACTCATTAAGAGCTACAATATTTGCGCTTTCTGCATTTAATCTTAATATTTGCATATCGGATACACATATTCTGTTCATCTAATCGCACTCGTCAAATCTTTTGAGCACTCACTCCTCTTGAACAGCATATTTGGTCAGGGGACGGCGTTCTCACGCCCGTAGCAAAACATTTATTTTGCTAATAATTTATTTATATGCCCTGTCAATATACATGCTGTAAGTACATCCCCCTCCCCCTTTCCCCCTTCCCCACTCCTCTCACCACCCACATTTCGCCCCTCGGGGCGCACACAATTTGCTGAAATAAGCAGAAAGAAACAAAACTGTTACGGCAACAACGAATTGATTTGCTTTATGGAACGTCAACGCTAGACTTATCCACTTTTTCTTATACTTCTTATACGTTATTTTTTTCGCCCGATTTTTCCTTGGCTTTCCCTCGCGCTTTCCCCCGATTATTATGCACCCCGCGGAAGAAGTCGGTTGTCGTCGTTGAGTCAGTGACTCATATCATTATGGCGCCCATATCCCGAGGCGCCACGCGCCTTGCCCCGCCCACTTGCCACTCGAATGATATCCCTTTATAGTAGATTGAAGGGGTATATTGGATTTCCTAAGAGAGAGAGAATTCATCAATATCATCAGTTTGCTGTATTAAATGAAATAAATGTAAGTATTTCTTTGGGGAATTATTTTTAATTTCGTTGCATTTTATTTATGGTATATACTATATAGCAACTGGTATATATAGTATTGTTCGAAACACTCCGCCAATATCCTAATTCCTTGTTATGTCTGCCACAAACCGCACTTGACTTCCACATGAATGGGCCAGGCCAAGGCTTAGGATCGAAATGGAAATGAGTGGAAGACACAAGGGGGGAAATGAGAGAGAGGCGTCTGGAAAGCGTCGGAAAATGGGGATACCTGTTTGCCATCTCGCCCATTCCTTCATCCATTTTCATTTTTATTCCCCTCTTCTGGCCGTGTTTGCCCCATTGATTAATGCGTAAATATGCGTTCCATTGCTCTGGCTTTCCTGTTTCTTGTCTGTCCTTAACTCGGCTGCTTTGAGCTCAATCGAATTGAATCGAATCCACGGAGGACACTTTTAAAGCCAGCAGCTTAAAGAATTTAAATGCTTAAAAAAACTAGAACGGATTTACATTAAAAATGTTTGTATAAAAAACTATCTATTTACTTTAAATAACAATTTTATTTCCTTACCTAATAAAACTGAATATCAATTCTGTGTTTGCCTGGCAGGGAATTAAAGGATACTTATAAGTTAAGTATTTTATGGGAAAGTATTTTAACAAAAAACTTATATTTAAGTTTCTTAATATTTGTTTGTACTTGGTGAGGAAAATAGTAAACGCAAGCTCACTTGGAATTTTTTATTATTATTTCTAAGCTCTTCTCTATAGTATTTTCTTGCAGTGCACAAAATATGTTGATAATTATCTGGAAATCACGTAAACAACTTTGTGACGGCTGCATGTCAGTGGCTCTAAAGCGGCAACAAAGTGTTAACACACTCCACGCCGCACCTGCAAAAATGATGGCTTTTTATGACTTGAGTTCGCAGAACTCACACCCACACGCACACCCTGTCTCTCACACACACACACACACGCACGCAGACAGAACAGCGATTACGTAACGCGACAAGGACCATCAATCATATTTAGCTGGATGGCCCGAGAACCCAAAAATAAATAATGATGCCCATTTGTAGTTGTCGCTGCGGCATTTAACATTTTTAACTAGCCCAAAATAATTACGAGACTCTTGCCACATTTTTCCGGCTCTCCATTTTCTAGTCGGCCAAAAGGAAACAGAGCAAGCGAAAACCAGAAAATGAAACAATGAGCGAAGGGAAAGCGGCGGAAAATGAGAGATAACTGGAAAACAATTTCTTATGTGGGATTTGCAGGGCTCGTCGTAAAATTGGAAAGGCTGCATGTCGGACGGGCGGCAAAAGATGCCGAATGCTGAGCTGATGATATCGCCAACCTCCCAACCACCCAACCACCCACTTTAACCCCACTTTAGTCCCACTTTAACCCCCTAAGTACTCGCAGGGAGCTCATCTTGATGGTGGCAGCGGATTAAGCGAGAGGAACGCACCAACCGCCCGATGACGTCACAGCGAAAATAAACCAGAGCGCACAAACAATAACAAAAACAATGGAGGAAAGCGGGGGAAAGCGGAAAGAGGAAAGCTGCAGCTGAAGCACAAGGATTACGAAAGGATTCGTTTCTAACGAGATTGACAACAAACCGCACTCTAATACATGTGGCTGTAAATGTATGTGTGTGTGTGTGAGTGTGTGTTTGCGTATCATCGGATGCAGCGTTTTTATTTCTATTCTCCCCCAGATCAAAGATATACACCCCTACAATTGATCGGATGCCCTTAAATAATATAGTTAAGTCGAATTTTGAAGATAGGAAATTTGCATTAGAAACAAATAAATAAGAGGAAAGTACTATAAAAGTTTTCTGAAACCTAAAATAAGATACTATTTTGGATTGTTTTCATTCAGTTTTAAATAATATCTTTTCTTTTCTTTATGTAATAATACTTTTTTCAGAGTATCTATCTGTCATCTTGACCTTTTTTTAGGCCGTTGGCTTTGCGGTTGGTTTCACCCCTTTCCCCTTTCCCTTCTTATTTGGCAAACAAAGCAAGTTTTGCCTCATAAAACTAAAACGTTGGATTTAATTTTGCAAAATAAACAGAAAAACAAAAAATGAAAGGAGAAATGACGGAAAAAAGAACCCAATGAGGGAAGCTATAGTTTCTTGGTCCAGATGGAGAGTCGGACGATATCTGCTGCGTGGATCTGATTGAAGTGGGAAGCTTTTATGTGAGCCCATGAATTTTGCGATAAGTAATTCTAGCCCACACACACTCACACTTAAACAGAGCAGATGGAAAACAGAAACAGAAATCCGAAAATGTGAAAATGAAGAGAAATTCATTATTCATTTGGCAGGCAGGAAAATAAAATAGAAAATGCAAATACTGCAGGGGGCGGCAGCGGGAAATTCTGTGGCGTTCAAAATCGTTTTTTGAGTTTTGCCGTTGCCGTTGCTCCTGCTGCTTTTTTGCTGCTGCTGCTGTTGTTGTTTGGTAAAAAAGTTTTCTAATTAAAACAACAACTGACAACGCAAAATTGTCAACGAAAACACACACATATAAATATATACATAGATGTATACAAACACATGCAAGTATACAAAGGCAGAGACAGAGGCACAGATATATTTGCCAACTACAAAATGCTTTGTTAAAAAAACTTGCACAAAGCCGGGAAAATGCCCGGGGGGAAATGGTAGGAAAGTGGTAGGAAAACAGGGGGAAAACCCGTTGGCTGCCCTTGGCGTTAGATGGCCCGCTAAAAGGAGAGGGGAAAGGGAAAGGGGAAACAGGCTGGTTCTTATTGTTAGCAGTTGTTAGATTAGTTTGACTTTTCGACCCTCCCCTTTCGGCCAAAATGTAAATGTGCAACGAGCGGCGAGCGGCGAGAAGGACATCGCAGAGCCGCAAAATTGTCAGTTGATGATGGCTTAAACTGGAATGGAAAAAAAGGCTGCAATAAAGCTGCAAAAAAGCGGCGGAAAACAGGAGCAAACAAACGGGATCGGACAATTGTTTACATGTTAATTACCTGGGAATAACAGGGCCATCGTTAAACAACGTGGCCCGTTGTGAAAGCTTTAATTAGCCGCTTTCCACTCGCACTCCCCGTGGGATTTGTAGCTGAAATAATTGGGAGTGAGTGCGGGAGTTGGTATTTACAAAGGCCAAACAGCAGTCGATTCGTTTGACAATCTATTTAACTTTTTAGAAAGCAAACCAGCAACAGATTAACTTTTGCTAAGCTACCTGTTATTTATTTAGCGTTAGAAAAACAAATGTTCCGTGTCAAAAGGAAATCTATCGGGGAAAAAGCCCCTTTGACCAAAAAGTTGGATATTATTAAATTTTGTTACGTATTCATAGGCACCTTAAAGCGGCAACTTTCCATGGAGATAATTTTCAGTGGGAAAATCAGAAACGAATTTGCCTTTGCAACTTGTAATGAAAACTTTTCACTCGGTCTGCAATCAAATTAATTTGTTTATTAGGAACAGAGTGATTGCTTGGAGATGCCCTAACCCAAACCATCAACGTCCGATTTGCGCTGCTATATATATGTATATATATGTCTGGGCGAATGAATCATAATTTTTGTGATTACGTATACGCCGCGTGGGCGGCCACTCGTACCATCATTTCGAGCGCAAATTGCCGTTGCTGTTGTTATTGGGGCAATTGTTCTGCGGCACAAACACATCGATCGGATGGCGGTGGCATCGGGTGGGAAAGTTATTATTATTTTAACAATTTTCCAACTCTTTTGCGCTTGAGCGGCGCCAGCGAAGGTCGCGTAATTCAAAAGCAATTTGTTGAAATTAAATTTGATTACGTTTATTGCGCGCCAGCTGCTCGGGCCGAAAAACTTTCCCGGTGGAAACTCTTTAATCGCTCGGTAATTGCCCCAAATTGAGCGACAGAGGGCGCCACGCAAATCACCGATCAAGCCAGCTTTTCCTTTTCCCGCTTTCCCACTTTCCAACTTTCCGCCATTTTGCCACTTTGCCAGTTTCCTCATTTTTTCCACACTGACAGTTGAAATTGGACAGGCGCTCACGGGATAATTAAGTATTGTTTTGTCAAAAAATAAATTAAGTTTCAACTTGTCTCAGTTGAAAGAAATTAATGGTGGTTATTTTTGTTGGGAATGTCATTCAACTTTTGCTTTAACTTTTGCTTCAACGGAAAGATACTTTAATTGATCGATAAATGCTCTTTGTAACTCGCACAAAAAATATATAGGACTGATTAGAACTGTGGTTTAATCCGAATAGGGATTTGGCAAGGGCTCGTAACGCTGTTGAAGGCTTTCGACATAAGGATTGGCCTCATCGCTGGCAAATTCTCGTTTGTAATCCATTAACGGACTGCTGTCCATCTCGGCTTTACTGGCTTAAATTGGTAACAATATAAAGAAAAAGAATGCTACATTTTCTCGAATCTACCTTTAAAATCATCAAACAGTTCTTGATCCTGATCCTGGTCCTGATCCTGATCAAAGTGTTGCAAATATTCGTGATCCAGAAACTCCTGTTTGTGGTCAAAGTCCTCATCCTTGGTAAGATGTGGTTCCATTTTATCCTCAAAAAGAGGATCTTCCACTTGGTTAATCGACATTTCCTCCTGGCCATTGCCTTCCTCCCAAATGCAGCCACCTTTGGCTAACTTCTCATCCGTTCGTTGCCTTTCGGGCCAAGAAAGGAATGTTTTTAGAGCTGCAAGAAGTGCTTAATACATGTTAAACGGAGGTGATATATTGAACCTACGATTAATGGACTGATCGCTGCGTTTGTGGTGCAAGTTCAGTAATCCTTCTTTGCGGCATTCACCTTCCTTTTTGGCAACTTCCAATCCGTGAACCTGCTGGTGGTACATTTCCAGCAGACCATGGCGATTCACTGTCACTATTCGGGGCATATAGGTTCTTAATTTGATGTGAACTATATGCTGTGAGGGGATTTCAGCTTACGCGACGGCTTACCCCACACGGTGGCCAAGAAAAGCAGGAACAGGACGAAGAGTGGCGCCCAAATGGGCAGTCCAATTGGTTTAGGGTTCATATCGGATGATAAATATCTTTTCAAAATATATATTATAGTTCGATTTCCTCTTTGACCGGTTAACAAGGAAAATATGAACGAAAACGGAGCGTAAGAGAGCAATTCCTTTTAAAGGAAAGTGCTCGGCATGCTGAATCAAGTTAAATCTGAAACGTATTATTTGGCTAATTATTTCATCAAAGAAAACCCTCCTGAAACTCGACTCAGACGAACTGCTAATCCATTACATCTTAGACGCAACCATTATCACTTTTCCTCGCTTTGCGGCGCTTTTGAGCTTTCTCGACCACAATTTTGCCTTATGCGGCTGACCACCTTTATGCCCCCCATGGCCCCCAAGCCAGCCGATGGAAGCGTTGAAACAAGTTGCCAAAAAGCCAAAGTTTCTGTGGCTGCCAACAACAAAAGTTGCATCACATCAAGTGCCACGCCTACATACAGAGTGCCGCCCACTTGCGTAAACGTTTGCTAACCAGCTTGAAGGGAAAGCGGGGGATTCTGAAAGGGAAAATTCGGATTCTGAGAGAAACCAACAAACATTTTTGGGGGAAAGCAAGCGGGTAGCCACTACCCACCCCCCTGCGTTTCCCGCCCTTTCCACCCCGATAACTAAACACAAACGGATATGTGGATAAAAGCAGCAGCAGCGCCCACCCCTCTTCAATATTTTAAAACCCAAACAATTTTGCCAACAAATTCATCCAAAAATCCAGGCAAAAAACTGAGATGAGTTACGAAAAAATGAAAAGGAAAAAATCAACTGAAATGTTTGAGGTTTGCTAAAAATATTTTCAGCATTTCTCTGTGTAAATAGTGAAAAATTGCTGCTTTTGTTGGCCAAAACAAACCGAAAAATCTGAAGCTGTTGCTAGTTTTCCTCCCAAACTACTCTTCATTAAAATGTCAAGCCATTAAGAGTGATGATGGGGTAAATTCGTTCAGGGGTCGGAGATTTCAGCAATAAAATGGATTTTCACATTTGTCAGTTGCTCTTTCTGGTTGGTCATTAAGTGCAGGAGATGGCAACAAAGCCCTCCTGTTGCATACCAGCTTTTTCGAAATAAAGAAATTATTTTTTCGAACACATTTTGGGACTCCATCTTAAGTGGTAAAGACATTTTTCTTAGTGTTACTTGGCGCTTTTCCACCAACTGTAGTGGAAACTTTTAGTTGTAGAACAACAGAGCCTAGGTGGAAATGCGGGGGAGGGACGGGTGAAAACCAGAAGCAACAAACGGGTGACACATAAAGCCAGCAAATGTCTGGAGTGTCGACAACACAGCCATTAGCATCTGGATGAGTGCGAGCTGCCCCTCCCCCCTTTCCCACCAGGTGTCGAAGTTAATGTGAGTGGAGAGTGGAGTGTGTGCGAGTGAAGGAGACGTAATCCCTAAGACGATGGCAGTGTTAATAAGCAAGGGGGCGGCGGAAAAGTGGGAAGTGGGAAATGGGGGGCGAGCAGAGCCGCCAGCTGGCTGCCATTATTATTGAAAACTGTTAGACATGACAGCAGGTCACGTTTTGTCAGGCCACGCCACTCCATCAGGCAGTCAGTCAGTCAGGCAGTTGCTCATTCACTCATTCATTCACTTCAGCCAGCCAGCCAGCCAGTCCACACTGGTCCCAATGCCCAATATTTTTGCAAAAACCCATTTTTTTTTTTGTAAGTTACGAAAAAAAAACTTTTTAATTTCCATAGAATAATATACGTTGCATTTAAAATTCGAAATTTCGTTACTGAAATTGCAGCACTGCTAAATTCGGTGGCCCTGAAAGTTAGCTGTTCATTGATCAGAAACGTTGACTTTTTGGCGCGCTAAATAATAACACATTTTAAAGTAATATTGGAAAAGTTCAACTTAACATTTTAAAACAAAGTAAAATGGAAAATTTTGGTGGAGGTATGTAAAATGTAAGTATTTAATTCAATATTTGTTTAATGTGAAGTGTCTGTGTGTATATGTGCTTTTGTAAAGTTGTATATTAAACATTTTTAAACTAGCATTTTTCGTGTTTCGTGAAATAAAAGTAGGTTGGATTGTGCCGGATTATAAAAACTATTAACGCAGTTTTCTTCTTGAGTTTATTTACAATACGATAACAGAAACCTTTTTTGCTCGTTTTTGCTCCATTTTACAAAAAAAAACTTTTTGCTAGACAACATAAACCTGAGTTATGCAAAAATGCTAGACTATTGGCTGGCACATGGACGCGAAACCGAAAGCCTTTATAACTTGGTGTTGCAGCATCGAATTGGAAACCTAAAGAAAAACATAGAGGATCCTTTGAAAAACAGGATTAAGAACTTTGTTACCCGTTAGAAGTTATTGACCTTTTAACACCACCAAATGTCAATTTCCTAAATAGTTATCCTACGACAGATAACGATGATGATGATGACTTGGATACATTTGAATGTAGCGAAGCCTATTCCTTTGATTTAGATGTTGAAAGTGATTAAAAATTAATTTAATAAATATATTATAATTGTTCAAGATGCATTTTTTAGTTTGAAAGCTGAAGATTGGTAGGGCGGGAGGGGAAAGGGGACTGAGGGTATATTTAATAAAGTTATTTTCTATATATTTAAAAATTATTGGATATATTGGCCCAATTTTCATGGATATTTTGTAAATTTTTGTCCCAGGGTGCATTGGTTTCTATGGGACGAAAATGAAGGCGTGGCCCGATCGGCACAAAATTTTGTCCAGACTTTTTATATATAATAACTATATAGTGTGCCAAGTTTCAAGTCTGTAGCTTCATTTTTCTAGTTTATGCAAGAATATTGGGCATTGGGACCAGTGTGCAGTCAATGAAATGAGCAAAAGAAATGCAAAAATGCACAGACGACAATCCGTTTTCATGGCTGATTTAACAGAGCTTGAGTTTGGGAACGACTATGGGTTTGCTTTTTGGATGGAAACGGCCTGGCAGAGACTGAAGTTGCAGCCGGGAACGGAGCTCCGGATTGGGATTGCGATTGGGAGGACAAACAGATCTGGATGGGCGATGGTTCCCTCTGCGGGGAACCGACAAACAAGTTAAGGGATTTCATCTGCTAAAAGGTACATGCCCTAATACCCTTTCTATTATTATGCAAAATAAACTCGAATTTTAATTTTATTGAAATATAAAAAGAAAAAGATTTAGATAAATAAGGAATAAACTAACTTAAGGAGTATTATTATTAGTACTATATATATATAATAACAATAGTTATATTATTCTATAATAAATTGCATTTTACTTTTAAGTAAATAAATTAACTGTTGAACTATAAAGGTCTTTTAAATACAAATAAAGAGCATTGATGTCCTTTTCGAAGCCTGCCATCCGCAACTTGTTGCCAACTGGAGGAGCCGAAAAAAAAAACGAAATTATTTCATAGCAAATACACGGCGAAGAGAATGGAAAACCGAAATCACATTAAGCCAAGAGAAAGGGGGAAAAGTGGGTGGTCGGTGGGCGGTGGGCGGAACCGGCGGAACTGGCGGAACTGGCGAAAAACTGGCGGAAGGCCTCCGTACAAATGCCAATCCAGTCACGGGCTCTAAAAATCAAAAATTTGAATTTCGATCACGTCTTCAATTACGTCGAATCGACGTGCATATAAATCAACTCTGTAACAGGCCACACACCCACAGACAGACATAGACAGACAAGGGGGGCGGATATATATGGTAGGGTAGGAGGGTCGCTCGGATATATAGGGGAGCCTATGGGGGCGTGGCAGTCAGTCGTCAGTCAGTTAAATGTGGTTTTGTTGTTGCTTCACTTGCCCTTATCCCCGCTGTTGCGTTGTTGAGTTTTGTAAATCAAGTGGAAATGCCACACAGAAAAAAAAAACAAAGCACAGAGTGCGGAGTGCGGAGAAGGCGAGAAAATCGGGTGGGAAATTGGGGTTGGGGAGAACGGAAAGGGGAGGCGATGATGACGAGTGGATCCAGTGGAAAGGCGGTGGAAAAGCACAACCAAGTCGAGGAGTCAAGAGTTGAAGTGCTGATGCGACACAAGTGTGGGTGTGCCCCGCCCCCATTTTCCATTTTCCGCCCACCGCGACAAGCACTCATGCAGAGTGCAGTTGACATGCGGAAATTGTAGGTGCGTCCACGCCCACCAATCTTCAAGGACACCAAATCGTGCATAAGTAAAACGATTGAAAGCCATAATCGAAAACAATGGAAAATAATCAATTTATGTATAATACAAAAAAAATAAATAAATACTACAATAAAATAAAATACATAATAGAACACTGAACTTTTTAAAAATGATTGAATTAAATATAAGCTAAGGTTTACTATCAACAAAAATATTTGCACGTTGATTAATTTTGATTAACTGGCAAACTGTCAGTTGTCCTTTACGAACAAGTTAATCAAAGTGCTGCAAAGGGCTGAGGCAGAAGGCCGGAAATTGTCCTCCTTTGCCAGCTTCCCGAATGCGGGAAAAGGTTAAAGGTTAAAAGTGGACAGCGAAGGGGGAGGGGGTGTGAAAGCCTGTCAGCCAGCCCAAATTATTTGGCATTAAAAATTGTAATTTCTGGCCAAGACATGCAATCGGGAACTTGTTGTTCAATTTCCCTCCATCACGCTGATTATCCTTGCACTCCCGCACACACACACATACTCACCCTCACACACACACACGCAGCCAGTGACATGTCCTCGTTGTTGTTGATGTTTGTCGGGAATTTGATTTGATTTCAGGCAGAAGCAGCAAGCCAGCAACTGCAACTGCAGCCGGAGTTGTCCCCGTCAATGTTGGCACTGCTCCTCCTTCTCCTCCTTTTTCTCTTCTCTGCTTGTGCTCCTCCTGATCCTGGCGCTGCTGCTGCTGCTCTGACTGCTCCATGTCCTTCTGCAGATGCTCTGTGAAATGTCCTGGCCTGCCATTCGCTTGAAATTACTGACAACTGCTTCAAGCAGCGGCAAAGTTGAATTTGCATTGCCCCAAGCCTCTCGTGAGCGTGTGTGTGTGAGTGTGCGGGTGTGTGTGTGTGCTTCTGTGAGCGGGTGTCCTGCGAGCGTGTCCTCTTTCTGGGAAAGTGTCTGTGTGTCTTGTCAGTCATTGGCACAAGTGCATCACACG